CAGACGGACAGCAGGAAGCTGCGCAAAAGTCCGTGTGTTGTCTAGGAAGGCACTGCAAGCATGTTAGCACTGAGTGCAGTATTGCTGGAAGTGCCGTGATTCTGCTACATTTAAAAAATCTCAAGCATCTTGTCTTACCCTCCCGCTCCACCCGGGTCTTTGTTTTCCTCATACTGCCTGACTGGCAGTCCGACAGCAGAGACTCGGAGTGCGGGCACTCGTGCACAGGCGTAGGCCCGACACTACAGACGGACAGCAGGAAGCTGCGCAAAAGTCCGTGTGTTGTCTAGGAAGGCACTGCAAGCATGTACAGGCAGACGGCGAAGCTGGTCAATACATGTGCACACGCGCGAAAGCCTGTGTAGTATGTATAGAGTGCTGCAAAGGCGACCATATGTGCGCACTTTATTGACATTCAGTCGGATGCAGTCGCATGTTCCAAAAGTTTTTGTGCAACTGTATGTGACGGCATGCCGGGTCCAGCAGGGGTATGCAAAACATTTGCAGTGTGTAGATGTTGACACTCATGTGTCAGAGTGCAAAAACGAAAACATAAACCTGTGCTTGCTGATGCAGCAAAGTGCAGTGCTATGCATGCATATGTAAGTAGAGTTTTTATTTGGAAGAGCCGACGAGCACACAAGACATTGTTAATCGATTATCCAAGAGTCGGTTCCTGATGTTCATAAATTTCGTGTGGTCTATGCCATCACGTTTGAAACATATAACAACCTGGCGTTTTTCTATGTAGTCACGTAGGCAAAAACATGCAACCACAAGCAACAGTAGCAATGCAACGGTACTCCCGCACAGTAACCTCTAAGAGCCCCGATGCTTGCCGCAAAGTACCGGGCCTTGCTACGGTGCATTAGCATGGTGCGCTGTAGTGGCACCAAATGAAACATGCAGCAAGATGTATCGTCATGTGCCGGTATGTTCTAGCCCCTTGCAGCTGTGTAATGATACATGGTCGCATGTCCTCAGGCCTTGGGTTTTTTCGGGCTTGAGGGGTTGGGATTTAGGGGGTTGAGGGGTTTAGGGCTTCAGGGGTGCAGGGGTTTAGGGGTTTGAGGGTTTAGAGGGCGGGTCATGCCAGCGCTTGATGGCTGTGTGCCGTCTGCCAGGGGTAGTTGTCTAAATCAGCCGCCCTTCTCGGGTCCTTTTTATGGGGTGCCGTACTTCATTGGGGACCTAAAAAGGGACCCTCATTAAGTCACGACCCTAGCATCCTTACAAGAACCCTATAGAAGCCCTTATAGATCCCTTTAAGGGATCGTTAACAAGGACCCTAATTCAGAGAACTACCCTAGGCCCTCAACACTCAACCCTAAACCCTAAACCCTATGTAAGCCCTAAACCCTAAAACCAAATTTAGAGAGCTACCCTCAGTATCAGGCCCAGGCCCAGCCAAATCGAAGCAGCAGAGAGTCTCCGAAGAAATGGTCCCAAAGAAAAGGTTCAAGGTTTAGGGTTCAGGGTTTACAGTTCAGGGCCTTGGGTTTAAGGTTTAAGGTTCAGGGTTTAAGGTTTAAGGTTCAGGGTTTAGGGTTTTAGGTTCAGGGTTTTAGGTCAGGGTTTAGGGTTTGGGGTTTAGTAGGCTCCCTCATCAAAAGCGCACCCCTTATCTTGAGGGGCCTTGGGTTCGTTGTCTGATGGGAACCACACGCCCGCTCAATGGCCCGGGCAGTCCCTGAAACGAACCCGGGCCCATCGGGTTTCGGGTTTAGGGCTTACCTCGAACTTGCACCCCTTTGTAAATCCCAAACCCTTATACCTGAACCCTAAACCCCAAACCCTAAACCCTAAACCCTAAATTCCCTAGGCCAGAAACCCTAAACCCAAAACCCAAAACCCTAAATTCCCTAGGCCAGAAACCCTAAGCCCAAAACCCTGAACCCTAAATTCCCTAGGCCACAAACCCGGCATCAAAAAATCCCAGGCCCCGAACTCGGAAAGTCTGCCTCCCAGACAGGTACTCCCCGCTCCAGACGTGCGACCACGGAGCCGTCTGCAAGGTCCTTTTAGGGGTCAGGGTTTAGGGTTAGGGTTTGGGGTTCAGGTTTAGGGTTTAGGGTTTAGGATTCAGGGTTCAGGGTTTTAGGGTTTAGGGGTTTAAGGTTCTAGGGTTCAGGCTTTAGAGTTTAGGCTTTAGCGTTTAGGGCTTGGGGTTGAGAGCTTTGGTTTGGCGCCCTGGGGCTTTGTGGTTTCGGCCAGAGCTTACATCGTTGCTGTACCCTAATGGTCCATGTACTTAAAAAGTACATACGTGGCCTTAAAGTAGTCCCTATATAGGTACTTTGGGGCCAAAATATGTACTATACATTGACCCTTAGGGGTAGAAACTTACTCATACTATTTTGGGGTTTAGGGTTTAGGGCGTAGAGTTATAGTATAACATACCCCGAAACCCTGTTTTATAGTATAACATACCCCGAAACCCTGTTCGAGTTATGAAGGCCCCGCCATTTTCGATTCCGGGGGCAGCTGTGAGGAACGGGTGGCGTAAAACGACGTGACCGGGCTCAGGGGTTTCGGGTTCCCCTTGAGGGTTTCGGGGTTGAGGGTTTAGGGTTTAGGGTTTAGGGGTTTAGGGGTTTAGGGTTTAGGGTTCCCCTTGAGGGTTTAGGGTTTAGGGTTTAGGGTTTAGGGGTTTAGGGTTTAGGGTTTCGGGGCTGAGGGGTTTAGGGCTTAGGGGTTTAGGGCCTGCTTTTGGCTGCATATCCCCTGGAGCCGCTGTTTGCAGTGATTACCCGTTTGGCACATCTATAGATACGGCTGATGATATAAATCCTGCGAAGAAGGAATATACCATAGTTCCCATAGTTTAGGGTCCTGAAGGTAATGCAGGATTTATATCATCAGCAGTCGTTCCATGTAGGATCCTTCTAGCATGATGGTCCGCTGGTTGGGCTTCCTGTTGATCTTCGTCGGAGCCGGGCTACGGCCCAAGAGTCGCGTCGACTGGCCGTGGGAGGAGCATCCCGTCAGCTCAAGCGATGAGGTTCAGGGGCTCCTGACCACTATGCTGGCAGAGACCACAGCTGAGGCCAGCACGGAAAAGGCCGGCGATGTCGAGGCACAGGAGCGGATGCTCAGAGATGTGGTTGCCAAAATCACGCAGGACTGGCGGAGCACCGGTGCAAGCACTTGCCATCAGCAGCTCGGCAGGGTCATGAACAACTTCAGTGTTGCATGCGAAGGCTTGCGGCCGAAAGCCGACTGGCTTCTCGACTACTACGTCCCGGTGCTCCCGAACAAGACCTGTGCCGAGAGCATCAGCGACATGTTCGCATTCGGAGACGAGCTGGTCGAGACCCTCCATGTCTCCAGAGATGCCATAGCCTCTTTGGACGTTGACGACAAGACGCTCCGTCGATATCAAGCGCTCTCCTTTCTCAGAAGCTGGCTAGTGAATCTCACCCGGACTGATGGTCATGCACTGCTTTGGGCGGGCTTCTGGGATGGTGATCCCCAGAATCGCACGACGAAGGCGAAGCTCTCCAACTTTGCCAGAGCAACGGAGCACTCGATCATGCACCCGAACACCTTCCTCGGCCAAGCTATCGAGGCGAGCCAGGACCTCAATGCCTGCTACAAGCACACCACGACCAACGCACTCGCAGAGAACATGTGGTCCATCGCAAGCATGAGCTTCGTGCTCGGGATGCGCGAAAGGGCACAGGGAACCGTCATTGCATTGGTGAACAAGCCGATCACGGGTGAGCGAAACCTGTCACAGTCCGTGCTATCCACCCATGAGATCCCAACGGTGGGGCTTGCAGCCTGGGGTCTTGGGTTCTGGTCTCCGAAAGTGATCCTTCTAGACCTTCTGGGCACCTGCGACAAGACAAGCCCTGCCTTGAAACGGCAGCTTTTCGCCCGCCTGCCCTCTTGGGCGAAGTCCATGACACACTGGAGCCCCGCAGCCTTCGCAAAGAGGTCACGGCTCCAGTGGCAGTGCCGAATTCCTTGTTCATACAATTTTTGCATGTTGTTTGTTAGAACAAAACCCAATAAGGACTAAAAGTGATCCTTTTTAATATAGGGCCAACAGGGAATCAGGTGCATCGACTGCTCGGGCGCTTGCAGCCT